GATGGAACACTTACCCACTGTAGCTGAAGCTGAAGACAGGAGAGACTTGCCCCAGGAACCCCAAGCTCCCCATCTACTTGCTTTAGATGAGTCTGTGGCCTGTAAAACAGATATATTACTCTAAAAATCTGACTAAAATCATGTGATGTCTTCTGAAGAATGATTCTTTATAGTCAGAATATAGAGAGGAATAGCCCAGAATGACTGCTTGAAAAAAACCTTTGCCACTAGTTCCTCTAACAAGAGCTTAAGCTTTTGTGCAAAGTAGTCCAAGAGTAAAGGTATCATTTAACAACACTGCAGGGCTGTTGCTGTTCTCATCTCACATATTCTGCTCCTTTGGCTATTTCAAAATGCACCTATTCCTAAAAGACATAAAACTCCATCGATTCTTTAATATGTCCTGACTAGATGATCTTGTAGGTCCTTTCCAACCTTGTGATTCTATAATTCTAATGTCCTAATATTTCTTCAGGCACCTAATCTTAAGAAGCCATACAAATTTATTATGGTTATTCTCTGTGATAGGCAGGAACTCACCTTCTTTCTCAGTTCTACATGGAGCCAGAGCTAGAGGCTTCTCTGTCTGAGTCTCCTTACAGGTAAACGTGCATAGGAAATTTCTCACAACTGCATTCAATCAAAACAGAGCCATAGAAGGCACTGAGCACTTTTTCCATTAATGTGTGGGGGTGAGTAGTTATCAGTATTCCATGTTTAAGTCATACTAAGAAACTGGTGTCTGAGTCTCAATTAACGTATCACCTCTGCATTTACTCAGTACCAAAAAGATGAAGTATCCCAGGATACTTTAACTCTGCACTGTGCAGTACGTACATCCCATCACCTCTTTGAGGCAAGTCTCTGTCCCTAATGGAAGGAGTAAACCAATGTATTTTAACCTTTTCCAATTTGTGGATGCCTGAAAGTCTTCCAGAGACAGGAACATCTTGAACTATATCATGTGCATTGAACGCATAGACTGTCAAAAATAAAAAAAAAATCTCTCTTTTTTTTTTTTTCTTTTTCCTTTTTTAATGAACTTCTTGCCTTTGCTCACAGTAGTCCCAGGGGTTTGGGGATCACAAATCAAAAACCGCTGGCTTGGAACAAAGAAAGTCAGTTTCACTCACTTTCTCGGAGTCTTGTGAAAGACACTTTATTTTTGTGAAGTCAGTGAAAATAAGAAAGCACGAGACTTAATGCTGCAAATGCAGCTTAAGTTCTGTCCTCTTCAAGGTTTGTTCTGTGAACTGGACAAAGCAGATATGTACAGGAAACCAGATAACAAAATCATAGGAGTACTACAGCTATATAAAATGGACTAGGTTCTTACTAAGACTCTGGCATAGTTTTATTGCACCAAGATTGCAAGATCAAATTAATACCATACCAGCAAAGAGAGATTCAGCTGTTCCCAGCTCCCAAAAGCCAGTGATGGAGTCTAACTGATTCTATCCTCGTGAAGGTTCTTATGAAGAACAGTGTCAGCGTTTTACAAAATTTGGTTCTCACAGAGCAAGAGGGGGAGGGCTTTTATGGAAGAAAGCATTACTCACTGAACTACTTTGTTCAGGCACTGTTTCTTCAGGCTCAGGTTCCGTATCAAGGCTTACAGTCTCAATGCACTCAGTGGGCATGTCTTCAGCCACCTCTCCATTGGAAGGCAGACTTTCAGCTATTTCTTCAGTCAAAGGATTTTCATTAATAAATACATCTCCCTTCTGTCCATTACTGGCACCCTCAGTGGCCTGTCCCTGCTCATCTTGTGAGGACGCAGGCAGGATCTCAGCTTCCACAGGGTGCAGTACTGACTCCTGAGGCAATACATCTGTGCTGGGCATTTCCATTACTTCAGGTTTTTCTTCAGATGGGATGCCATCACTTAAGTCTTCAGACATTTTCAATTCTGAACAGAGAAAACAAGTCAATGTTTTCAGACTCTACAAACAGGCAAACGACCATAAAATACCTAGTGCTTCCCAAAAGCTACTGCTGAAAAACAACGTAGACTGTGTGTACCTATGGAAGCCCTGTGATACATGTGTCACACCGGCCTTGACTACTTTCACCATGCAGGACTGCACTCAAGTACAAAGAGCAGCACTATTAGTTTGTGTTCCAAAACACTGCTTGGTGATGGAGAAAGGATGTTTGTTTGTCTGGAGAGGTCAACTATGAGAACTTCCAAACGGTTAATTTCAATGATTTTTATAGAGGAAATGCCAATAGTTAGTGAGATAATCTGATCTGAAATGGCTCTGGAACACAACGACCAAGCAGCTCTTACTCTCATTTTCATCACTTCTACTTGTACAGGTTCCTACAGTCTGCTGATTGATGGTGAGGAGGATGACAAGAATCTGAATAAAGCACAGTGTAATTAAAGCTGTGGTAATGTTAACGTATTAGAGAAGGGAAATAATTTGAACACATGACAGGCATGGTCCCTGCAGTCATTTCGTACACAGGAAGCATCCACTGCTCACACAGTCTGTATTTCTTGCCTGGGGAATGCAATGCTTCTCACCTGTTCTAAAATGTCATGTAAGAATTCAATAAGAATTAATTAAACAGAATTAAGCTGTGTGACTAAACTTCAACTCTGAAGCCAACGTAAGTTTGTATGAGGTACAGTTACAGTTGTTTTTTGTTCTTCTAAGTTTAAAACTGATTTTCCCTTATTTACTCCACATCTTTCAACACAATTTTCATTTTAAAGTATTTTCCACAATGCTGCAATCTGTAGATCAAAGATCCAGGCACTGAGCTAGTCTTACACCTGACTAAGGAGAGGCAGAGTCCAAAAGCCCTGTGAAGTGATTACCACTATTTACTTGTTGACAACAACAGCATGCCTGGCAGTGTACTTGAAAAACAAATCTTGTCAGAGTGCTTTTATTGCAAGGTCTTGTCTACACACAGAGTTGTATGGCACAAAATAAACTCAGGCAATCTGTCTGGAGATGCTATATTTTTCACTGACTCCTATTCAAATTAACACAGTCCAAAGTACCTCTCTGAAGGACTGAGGTTCTAGAAGGGACTGAAGAACAGGAAAAGATGAGAAGTGGAATATGACAGGGATTTATAATGCATGACAAACGTGTATTTCTATCAGTGGAACTTATTAAAATCTGTGGAATCATGCACATCAGTGGCCTTAGCATCCCGTTTATCTAATTTGGATGTAGATCAGCTGTTTGAACAGCACCAAGATTAAACCACTTGGGATCAGTGAACTGGAGTCATAAATAAATAAGCAGTAGATGCCACTTACATTACTTCGGTTTACACTGGAACTTATTTTATCTGTAGAAAATGTGCAGTTACACATCAGTATCTTTACACTTGCTGAAGTGCTGCTGAAGTGTTGCGAGCACCACTGAGTGCAGCCACTGGGCTGCGATCCGTCTGTTTATTTACTTGTTCACAGAAAGTTTGATCCTTCCTCGAAACAAAGATGATGGAATTGAGTGGCTGCAGAGTTAAACAACAGTGGTTTCGCTTTTCAATCATTTGCAGTTTTCCATTAAAATATCCATTAAAATATTGCAAATACTATAAAATGCTTCAGTGTAGGCAACCATGGCTGTAGTTTAACACGACTCACTCCGTGATGAGTGAGACACCTAACGAATATGTTTTTCTATCTGCATCGCCTAGGACGGCCCTCTACTAAAACCAATACAACTTTTAGATATTCGTATCATAGTTCTGTATGGGATGGATGTGGACAGCAAACGCCCAACGGCAGTGCGATATGTAAGGGATCACATGCAGTATTGCCGGAGTAGCTCATCTTTGGGGGCCGCTGTGGCGAAGGGCCCTGCAGTCCTCCGCTCAGATGAGGGGAGCAGAGCAAACCGCCGAACTTCCCGAAGCACGGAGCAGCGCTTCGGCAATCCGTCACCCGCCGGACCCCCGCACGATGCGCGGCGGCACAGCTCCGCCCTCCCGCCCGACAGCCGCCGCCGTTCGTCCTCCGCGGGACCCGGCCCCGCTTCCACCTGCCCGGCGCAAAGCGGGAGGAACTGCCGCTCCCTCAAACCCGCAGCTTCCCTCTTTTCTTCTTTTATTCTTGCTTAAACCCTCCGGGCTTGAGCTATCGGTCAGCAGCCCGCAGCCGGTTTCAAAAGCGGCAGCAAGAAAAGCACGCACCGCCGCTCTGCTTACCGCTCTGCAGTCCGTCGCGGCGCACCCCCGGCTCCGTCCCCGCCCCGCCACGTCGGCAGCAGCGGGGGGAGGAGGGAGCGCCGGCCGGGCACGGCGGGACGGCCGGGCTGGGCCGCGCCGAGGGCGGGCTCTGCAGCCGCTCTCCGTCCGTCCCTCCGAGGCGGCCGTCTGTAGCGGAGGGGCCGCCGCGAGGTGCCGGCTGCTGGCCGGGTGCGCTGCGCCGTCCCGCCGCGGCCGCCACGACCCCGAGGGGGCCGACGGGGGAAGAGTGCGGCAGCGCCGGGGCTATAAAGCATGGTGAAGTGTTGCGAGCACCACCGAGTGCAGCCACTGGGCTGCGATCCGTCTATTTACTTGTTCACGGAAAGTTTGATCCTTCCTCAAAACAAAGATGATGGAAGTGAGTGGCTGCAGAGTTAAACAACGGCGGCCGCTCGGAGGCGTGCCCGCAAACTTCCAGCAGTGCCCCTCACGGCTTTTCCTCTTTTTTTATTTTTTCCTGCCTCCTCTTAGGGCAAAGCGTGCCCTTTCGCTGCGATCAGTACTTCCAGGGTTCATTGCCGCGTCGCTTCTGCCGCCAGACTTCCTTTTCTGAATAAAGTTATTCTCTGTTGCCCCAGGAAGCATAACACATCCTATGAATCACTGAGGAGGGCCTCTATGGGAGGCCACAAAACAAACACGATTTCTCGGAGGGTTGCTTCACAGCTAGGGATAGAGCCGCGTGACCGACGCCCTTACCAAGCAGATCTCTGAAGCTTCCCGTGAAGGTGGCTGACAGCAGGACGAACGCCTCTATTGCTAAGGCACGCACTGATTTCTGAGGAGTTTCAGTGAGACTACAATTACCGGGGCGTGCTGGGCACTCTGGTGCCTTTCACATTAATGCAGTAGATGTATTCATTGAGAACTCTGGAGTAATCCTGAGGGTTTGCCTCTGCTTTTTAATGGTATCTGTGGAAGAGTAAAGCGTTGTCTTTAGGAAGAATTCTAATGGATGAAGCTCGGCGGCTGAAGATGGCTTTTTCCCCATCGTGTAATATAATTTGGACTATGAAACGGATCTTAAAGTGCCAGTTTGCAGATTCTGTATAAGTCCATGCACGTTTTAGAAATGGAAGACGGTATTAATGAATCTTGTCATAGAAAGTTGTTTGTTAAGGATGAATTAACATTATAAATATGTGTGTATGCCTGTGGGCTAGAAGGGTGTGTTAGTTTCTTGAACTGCTGACTGACTTGTTTGAATTTAGCACTTGCGTTTTACAGTAAGTTTTCTTTTTCTTTCACTTGCCGGTAATGAATTTCACTTGTATTTTTTTCTCTGCAGTGATGTCGCAAATGGTTTTTGCAACAAAAAGTTAATATGGGAAAGGAGCAATAAGGATGGAACCTCTCTCCTCCACCCTGGATTTCACTGAAGTTTGTTATCTCTCTAAGTTGAGTGCTGTTGCCTTCTAAAAGGGCCCTTGATAGGTTTCAGAGAAAAATCACAGAATCATAGAGATTGGAAGGGATCTCTGAAAAATACTTGCCCTTTAGTGAATATAGAAGTTTAAAGAAAAGATGGAAGGACACAAATTCGTTGTGTGACTCAATCTGATTACATTTATCAAGGCACAGAAGTATGCATAACATTTGGGCAACGTATTCATCTTCTTCTAGTGATTGCACGAGAGTGGTAAGTATGAGAGCTAATGGCATGCAATTCATAGTAAAATGCTTATTTTTCTGTTTAATGTATGCTTAAACCTATCTTAGTAGAATGTATGCAGAGCTCAGACTATGCCAGTGGCAGTAACAGGCCCTAATTTATGGAACAGTTCTTACATGTTAACTGAGAATATGTCTGATTCTGTACTCATTAGAGTGATATGTTTGCATGTTCAGTTTGTTGTGCTGTTACATTCCAAAACAGGAGTGCGTGTTTGGTACGACTGAAGGCTTGTAAGATTATGTCTTTTCAGATAGGAGCAGGCAATAGCATGGCTTGTAAGTAACAGTATCATGAAGTGTCACTTATAAATCAGATTTGAATACTCTTGTCTGTAATCAACAGTTATGGAGAAAGAGCTGAGGAGTACCACCATAAGGCTTATCAGCACGAGAATGAGAGTATGAATTTTTTGTACTCTGCCATGTGCTGTTGGTCCTATCTTTCCCTTTCTTTTGTGGATTACTTCTTTTCACTTGAAGGTGAGAAAGGAAGAATGGCATATGGAATCTGCTGCAAAATGAGAAAGAAATATTAAAAATTATTTCCTTTGCTTACTGAATCACCAAAATGCTGAATCGTGCATACACTGTAGCATGCTATGCCAAAAAGGAAGATGAGTTCCTCGGTTAAACCATATTTAGACCTTCCTAAAATGGAATTTCTAACTAATGTTACATGGAAATACAGAGAGGCTGGTATATGTCTTTGCCAGGACAATAACACAAGTGCTTGGGCATTCAGTACTCAAGTTGTTCCTCTGTTTTAATTCAAAAGTTCCATGTCCACTATTTAACTCAGTTACAACACTGCTGGAATGGGAGAGAGATTCTTCTTTTACCCTTAACTGGGAATTAAAATAAGGCAAATAATGCTTTTAAAAACCAGCTTTGATAATAACTTGTCAATTAATAAGTAGAGCTAAGTGAAAAAAAAAAAAAGATCAGTGTAATACAAAGACCTTGATCACTATTAAGAGATGGAGATGTTTGAACTCTGGTGTCAAACTTGCTCAAAAGAAGTGCCTACTTTTGTATTAATGTGATGAAGAAAGAAAATTGATAAAAATACTGTGGTTGTTTTTGTTTTGTTTTGTTTTGTTTTTTTTTTTTCCTGCTTACCTTACCACAAAGCATGAAAACACCCAGTCAAATAGCAACTAAATAATGGGGAAGTTATATTAGTGCTGTATGTGAAAAAACATCTGGAGAAACAGAAATGTTATTTCTCAAACTGTCAATAGGTGGCACAAACAAGTTTTATAAAAAGTGTGGGTGTTTTAAAGTACTATTACAGAAAAGGATAGAATTACAGGAAGTTTTCTCTTTGTCTTTTCCTGAACACCTTTTCTGCTTTTTATGAGAGCGGGGATTTCAGGTAAGAAAGTTCTGTTTTTTATTGGATTTATGCTTTTTCTAGTTAGCTAAACAGCCTACTTTTATATTCTGCATCTTATTTGAAATTAGACCATGTTTTTCATAAAAGTTTATTAGCAGATGTATGATAAGCATGTGGGTAAAAAATGAGAGTGAATGTTTTTTTTGGTCAGTAAATTTGTCCAGAGAAGCTGGCCAAATGGCATTCTTTTTGTATTTGTACCACGGTCATAGTGAAGGGGGTCACAGTGTTATAACTGAAGTAGTTTTCTTACAGTTAAAATTAGGTCTAACTGATAGTATGTTTCATTGTTATGAAAGATACTTTTAGCACCTGAGTTTTGTGATACTGATAACTTTCAAAGTGCGTGTCTTTATACTGAATGATCATAGCTTAATGCATTCTGTGTTATTTCTTACGTGGATGTTAGTCACTTTATACTGAGTTCTTATAGGACGAACTCTTCAAATCCCAGTTTTGATCTCTCTTTAAACAACAGGACAGGTTCTCCCCATGAATTTGATTTCCGTAGTCTACTGAATTGCTTATCTGCATGTATCTTGCAAGCACTGTGTTTGTCAAGTTTAAGGATTTTAAGATACACTTTGAACGAAAGAAAGACGTTACTACAAAGTATGATTTCTTCCATGCCACTCCCATTACTCCATTAGGAGTAATGTTCCCCAAGCAGTCAAAAGAATGGACTAGAGAGTGGTGATTATTTTTTGTTCTCTGCACTTGCCCAAATGTGTTTTAAGGGCTAAGATGGTGAAATTGAATGTAATTTTTCAAAAGGAAATTTGGAAAAAGGCTGGACAAGTTATGCTGTGCTGCCTTGTTATGTCTTGACAGTTTTCAAGTCTAGTTTCATGCATTCTCTACAGAAGTAGAAATTAGTGGGCTGCCAGCTGTTTTAGTGTTGTGATATCTTAATATGGGCTGTGTGATGTCGAAAATGTGCATTGTAGGCCCAGTAGTGCAATTCTAAGAAAGCCTGTAGAATGGTTAATGGTACAGAGGTTATATTCCTCCAATGAATGGCAGCTATTACTGTCTCATTGTAGTCATTATGAGTTCTGTTTCAGTGTAGGTTTTGTAGATGCAAGTGTATGTTTAAAAAAAGTCTGCTGAGTCTAGTTCATATCCTTTAATAGAGGATGACCATACTGACCTCAAATGTTGTACTTTACTGTCAGAGTGTCCTGGAGTTGTGAGGAGCCTATGTAGTACATTGAATGACAGCAGTAATTCCATAAGTAAGCAGGAAAAATCAACACCTCTGAAATCAGATACATTTTAAAAGAAGCAGACTTTTTATTAAACATGGCAGATTTTGCCAAATAGAAATTACAGTAGTCACTTAATAAAGTCTTTCCTGAGACAGTAAGTCCCTTCATTGTTCTCTGAGTCCAAGGGAGAGATAGCAAATTGGAACCTTAAAAAAATCAATCTCAATGATACCTATTGAATAGCTGCTTAATGATATAACTGTTGTTGTTGCAGGATTAGAACAGATGGATGTATAAGTATTGAGCATCTCCAAGGAACCATAAAGCAGTACGGCAGAGAACATGAAGTATCTCAGGAACTTTTTTATTTACAACTGTCTGTTTGCACTCACTTTTTGGAACAATATTGGCCTGACTATGAAAAATGAACTCTTTACATCTGTTCCTAACAATTTTCTACAAGATGGTTTGGACAAAGAAAACTTCAGCCTTCTACCCTCATATACAAGTAATCATCAGTCTGAAGCTAATTTTGGTTGGGTTGTGATAGAAAATACTACGGAAAGCCTATCATTGTCAGAAATCACAAAAGACAATGTACAAAACTTAATAACTTTATTATCTAATTTTAGAAAAGGCTCCAGGCTACAAAATCTGACACTAACGAATATGTCAGTGTACTGGGAAGCTCTTATTGAAGTACTCCAGACAGTATGGCACTCATCCATTGAATACTTTAGTATCACCAACTTAATACAACTGGGGAACGTTGTAAGTTCTCGCTTCGACTATTCAGATACTTCCATGAAAGCACTTGCACTGAATAAGGTTTTAGTCACAGATCTATACTTTTCACAGGATGACATTTATAACATATTTGCAAACATGAACATCGAAGCCTTGACAATAGCTGATTCTGAGTTAATTCACATGGTATGTCCTTCATCTGACAGTCCTTTTAGGTATGTAAATTTCGCAAAGAATGATTTAACAGACCTGCTTTTTCAGAACTGTGACAAACTAATTCAACTGGAGACATTTATTTTGAAAAGGAATAAATTTGAGAGCCTTTCCAAGGTGAGCTTCATGACCAGCCGTATGAAATCACTG